TGTGTGTGTGTGTGTGTGTGTGTGTGTGTGTGTGTAGGCATGTGTATGTGTATAAATGTGTTAGTGTGGACAGGTGTAGTTCTGCATGTATAGGTGTGTCCATGTGTGCAACTGTATGTGAATGTACATTTGTTGATATGTGCATATGTAGGTATGTCTGTGTATTGTTATCTGTTTGCATGTGTATATGTATGTGTGCATATTTACATGTGTGTTAGAGTGTTGTGTATGCATGTGTGTATGTGTATATTATAACAACATAAGAGAATTCTTAAGAGGAACAGAAACATACATGACTATCTATCTAATAATTATTTGGCTCTTAGAAGGAATGTCTGTTCCTGTCTGTCTTACTTCTGCCCCCTAGAGAACTTTATGAAATTATCTCTATTCTTGGCAAATAATTAGTCTCATCCAATAATAATTTCTAGAACTCATACAGTAGAAATTTCTTTGAGTCAAAAAGCCTGGTTCAGGCTTAATTGCTTACAAGTCCCATGTCCTAGAACGGTCTCATGAGCTCTCTCATGCCCTGTGGAGCAATGTTAGCGGAGCATTCCTATGCCTCCTCCTCCGATCACTGTGATCCTCCGTTGAATGACTGGAAGTCATTTCTAAAACACTAAATCACTAGAACACTTGGGTTTATTGTAATAACTTGTTGATATAAAAATTATTAATGATAGGTCCTGCAGCTGAATGATGAGATTATAACATCAAGTAGTGACAGGTTAGTTTTGATAAGCAAGTCTTTCACAGAGGATGGATAATAGATACCATTATTTATTAAAGATCTAGTTTTGAGTATTTTAACCCAATATATTCCCCTTTGTTGTTTGTCAAAGAATCTCCACCAAAATTACGTGTTTAAAAGCAGGTTTGTTTCCAAGGCCCTCTGCTCCTTTTTCATATGGGTGTGAGATCACAACACAGATCTGAGACAGTTGGTCTCTTTCTGATGACAGAGATCTGTTCAGTGAGTTGTTGTTACAGTGAGTTATGTGGTATTCGAAACAGGTCAGGAGAGCACTGGTTGAACCTGAGACCATCCAGCTTTGTGAGCATGAGAAAGTCCTGGATTCTCTAGAACTAGGTTTCCTTGGCTGTAAATATCTCTGAGCCTGTGTAGCTGGTGCTTGTCATAGTTTCTATTCTATATGTGCTGGTAACCATCTCTGTTGAACAAAGTGTTTATAGTGTTTGCTCTTTTCTGTGATCATTCTGTTTCTAAGTGTTCTACCAGTGGTTCAATAACCGTCCTGACAAATACCCAATTACTCTGAGCAGGCACCTGCACACCTCCACCTAATTACAGAGCTATTAGTTGTTAGAGACAGGAAGTCAGCCAAGCTGACTAATATATATATATATGTGTGTGTGTGTGTGTGTGTGTGTGTGTGTGTGTGTGTATACACATATATATATATATCATACACACATAAATGTATATTTACACACATGCACAGAAAGGGATAAGATAATCTTATGGAATTATCTAAATGTGATCTTGGGCTAGCAAGTCTAAAATTTGGAGGGCAGGCTAGTAGCTGGAAATCCATACAAGAACTGGTTTTGCAATATTGAAATAATAAACCATAGAGCAGGCCAGTTTGCTGGAAATGGGCAAATTTTTTTCTGGGTGTTGATTTGAGACAAAAATTCTTCTTGGGTGTACCCACATTATGGACAGTAATGACTGATTGTAAATGTTGATACATCCACAAATACCTGAACTGTAAGAGCAGTGTTTAAATGGCAGGGTACAGTAGTCTAGCTGGCCCGAAACACAAAGTAGCCTATTGTGGAGATCAAAAGAATCAGGAGAAACTACCCAGGTAGAAAAGCATTATGAATTATTATTACCCTCGGGAGGTAAAAAAAGAGGCTATGGTCATAGTACATAAATCTGGGGCTCATGTTACACAATTGCCAAAAGAAAAAGGGGATAAGACAGAGTTATTGAAACACAGTTGTCAGCCAGTCTCAAAAGCAATCCAAAATGAGAAACTGTCCACAGAAATAAACAAGAAGTGAGAATTTAAGGGCACAGGCATGATAAAAATTTCCAGGAAGGTCTCAATCTCAGATGCAAATAGGAAAACTTCCAAGAAGACAGAAGAGAAAGCAAAGGAAATCACCAATAAACAGATCCAAGAACATGTACAATTTACCAAAAATTAAAGGATATGAGTTTTGAGATTACAAGGGCCTACTGAGGATCCAGCACTAGCTAGAACAAGCCTGTGCTAAATCACAGCACAGCTAAATAGCATGAAACTCCAAAAATCTAACCTTCCAAATTATTGGAGAGAAAAGCAATCTGGTCCTTTGCAAGCTTCAGAGACTTTGGAGTTCCCAAAAACAACATGCAGAAGATTGCTTCAATTTCCTAACTTTCAATGAGGTCTTAGGATTTAACTAGACAAAATTCCATAGAATTTGCCTCCTTCAACTCCTTCCCATGGGAAGCAATTATAGAATCTCCAAATGAAAGAGAGAATAAACCAGATGAATCCAGAAACTGATCTTTAACCCAGGTATGCAAGAATGCTGGGTAGAAGGCCAGCTGTTTAAGGTGGAGACACCAGAGGCATCAGCAGAGACCTCCTTAGAAAGTGAGAATGTGAGCCACTGTGTGCAGTTCAGCACAGTGAGGCCAGCTTGACAAGAAGCCTGGAGTAAATTTAAATAAGTATTCAGAAAAAGAGGAATTCAAAGCACAGATTCATCTCTGACATTTTTTAAGACTAAAATATGAATGAAAATAAAAGTCACAATTCCCTAGTTAGCTTAGCTACAAATAGCATATACAGTTAATTACAGTAATACAAATCCTGTTTGTTTAATTAACATTAAGAGATTACAATGTATTGGGAGGAAGAACCATAGAAGACTGTCCATATGTGATGTGATCGATGTTTTGAAATAAAAGACGTCATGGAAATCCAGCAGAAAAAAAATGATTGTTAGAAATAATCACAAAATATCAACATTCTACAGAAGAAAACTAAAATACCGAAAGGGATGCCCAGGTTGTTCCCAGGGCGGTATAAACACTGTGAATGTCAATGCAAAACCCGTAGGACATCCCTCATTTACTAAGTGTGTGTCTGACTCTGAGGACAACAACTTCATAGTCACAGTAATGTATCCGTTCTACCCCAAGGCACATGTAAGGCTCCGAGTCTTCATTCGCCTGATAGTTAATGTTGTCTGTGGTGCAGACATCAGTGCCTAGTTTTGTATGACAGGTTCATGAATAGAACATGAAAGACATGCAAAGATGAGGCTCTGCACAGGGCGTATGAAGAGTCAGGCACTGAGTTTCAGTTGAGTTGACTTGGCCTCACTTGGAGCTCCGGGCAGGAGGGAGCGTGGCACCAATGGCTTCTCCCATCTGGAGCTGTCACCATTTGCTGAAACCTGATAGAGAGTGCACTGCTGTCTCCCTCACCGTCCTGGTCTCTGCTCTTAGGGTCTCTGACAAGATCACTAGCATTCTTTAAAATATGGATAATTAGGTGAAATTTTTGTGGACTAACATGGAATACAAACCGCATCCTGGTACTTTTTTTATGGCAAATGAATTCCACAAAGCCAGTGTGCTGATCAACTTTAGAATTCAGGCCTTGCTTAAGATAAGAAATCGAGAGGACCTGTCACAGCTGAGTCCGAGGATGCACACCACTGAGGCATCCCAAGCTCATGAGGCCCTCTGTTTTCCCCAGGCTATCAGTGTTCCTGTCTCTCGCAGTTCACGGGGACAAACTGTGAATCAGAGATCACAGCCTGCTTCCCTAACCCTTGCCGGAATGGAGGATCCTGTGACCCCATAGGAAACACCTTCGTCTGCAGCTGTAAAGCCGGCCTCACAGGTGTCACGTAAGTGAAACTGCTCAAGGACTTCTCTCTACAGGCTCTTTATCTTTAGGTAACAACCCAGCATGTAGTTCATCAGAATAAATGGGTACACTGCTGTCTTTCCTTGTCTTTTCACATGGGCCGGCTGAAGGTAGTGACTGAAGTGCCAACAGGAGGGCCTGAGTTCAGAGGCCTGGCACGCTTGTTGATAACCTAGGTAGGACGGGATGAACTTGTAATCCTAAGGCTGGGATTTCCTGGGATTCATTAACCAGTCAGCCTAGCCAAACTACTGTACTTTGGGTTCAGTGAAAGACAGGTTCTCTTACAAAAAAAATAAAAATGGAAAGTGATGGAGAAAGATAACTGAAATCAACCTTTTGTTTCCACAGGCATGTGTACACAACCACACTGACAAGGAAATGCATCACACACACACGTGCATGTGCACACACATACATGTGAGCACATACAATATACACAGCAGTTATATCTAATTTGTATGTTTTCTTTATCCTTTTGTCCTCTCAAGCTTGTTCAATCCTCACGCATTTTACAATGTTGAAGACACTTCTTTTGTTTAATGGACTTAGCACCACCTAAATCTTCCAGGATAATTCTGAGACACACATAAAACACACTTCCCAGAACCTGCCAACTGGACTCCTCTACATGGTGCTTAATGACTATTCTGAGAAATTAATCCTTACCTTTCCTTTGAAAATCCCTTTCCTCCAGGAAATCAGTGAAATTAGTGTTAGCCCGACAGAAATGGAATGCTTTAAATTCTGAGTAAAAGGCCACTTCCAGGCATCCTTGATCAGTTCAGAAGTACATACGTGCACTCTCAGCAAGTGATGGTCTAACTGCAGATCAGCTTGACATGTTCATTACAGCAAGTCTCTGAGGACTTTACCAAAAAATACTTAACTGAGCTTGAATCACTGGATGTAATTTAAAGTAATACAGCTGCATTTATTTTTAAATGCTCTGTGATTCTAACTAATTTCTGATTGACCTAGCCCAAATCTGTTCAAATTAAGGATATTTGGACTACGTTTTAAAAGGTGGATTACCAAAATTCTGGGTGAATCAGACTCTTTTGATGAAGATATCAGAACAATTACTTAAGTAGAGAAGTGTGAAGGAGGAGAGATGTTTTAACTATATGCTTTAAGTGTTAAAGTAAGAAGGAATCAGACTTAAAAGCTGCTGGGGCCCAATAGATAGATGAATGGTTCAGGGTGCTTGCTGCCCTTCCAGAGGACCTGAATTCAGTTCCCAGCACCCAGGATGAGTGGTTCACAACCACCTGTAACTCCAGCTCCAAGGGATTCAATGCCTCTTCTAGTCTATGCAAGCACCTGCACATGCATGGCACACACACACACACACACACACACACACTCACACACTTAAAATAATTGTAAAAGCCTAGTGTGTAGTTATAGTACTGTGGAGATAAAAGCTCTCTAGACATGCTCCAATGCTCATCCTAGTCCACTTCTCTCACTTGGTGCAACTGTCCATGTTTCCCCGTGGAAACGCTGGTGAGTTTGATTATGAGATCCTATGTTGCACTGTTAGGGAATTTGGAGAGGGTGTCTTTTCCACGCCAAATATTCTTCTCTTTATACTCCTCTCCCACCAGCTCTTCCCTTTCTAAATCTCATAAAGACATGAGAAGCCACACATTTTGCAAAGTAAAGGGCAAGGGCTCGGAGGAGACAGAATGGCTGAATTCACCTATGTGCACCTGTGTACATACACACATGCACACACATATGAACACACACACACATGCACACAAGGTACTATACTCCCTAGGGACTCCTTCTGTTTTAAATCTTTTGCCTGAGCTCTGGTACAGTTGTCCTGATGTTGGAAGGGCTTTGTTGTGCTTTGTCACTGAAGGTGCGAGGATGACGTGGATGAATGTGAGCGAGAAGAGTGTGAGAACGGGGGCTCCTGTGTCAACCTGTTCGGCTCCTTCTTCTGCAACTGCACCCCAGGCTATGTAGGCCAGTACTGTGGCTTGCGCCCTGTGGTTGTGCCCAACATCCAGGCTGGCCACTCATACGTGGGAAAGGAGGAGCTGATAGGCATCGCTGTGGTCCTCTTCGTCATCTTCACCCTGGTCGTGCTCTTTATCGTCTTTCGCAAGAAGGTCTTTCGAAAGAATTACTCTCGCAACAACATCACATTAGTGCAGGACCCGGCCACAGCTGCGCTGCTGCATAAGAGCAACGGCATCCCATTCCGCAGCCTGCGAGCAGGAGACGGGCGCAATGTGTACCAGGAGGTGGGGCCCCCACAGGTGCCGGTGCGCCCCATGGCCTACACACCCTGCTTCCAGAGCGACTCCAGGAGCAATTTGGACAAGGGCCTGGACGCGCTGGGTGGTGAGCCACAAGAGATGAGCACATTCCACCCAGAATCCCCACGCATCCTTACAGCAAGGCGGGGTGTGGTGGTGTGCAGTGTGGCCCCCAACCTCCCAGCTGTGTCACCTTGCCGCTCAGACTGCGACTCCATCCGGAAGAATGGCTGGGACACAGGATCTGAAAGTGAGTAAGATGCATGAATAGGCAGGTGTTCTAGGAAGCCCCTGGGTCTCAGCAACTCCAGCCAGTGCTAACCTGTGAGAAGGAGGGAGAAAGGAAAGACAGTCTCATGAAACAAGAGGATAGGACGCAGGCAGGGGAAGCGGTTGAAACCAGATGTTTTTGCTCTTTGACCTCCTGCTGCAAGATTCTAACCTCTCAAAACAGCCCTGGGGGTGGAAGCCCTGAAATGGGAAAAAGCCTTGGTGCGCTAAGTCACAGTTGAGTGTGGCTGGGGAGTTGCTGAGCACTGGGAAGTTGGGGGGACTTAGCATCCACAGTGGTGCAGGTATTTAAGCACATAAGTGGCATGAGCTAGTTACAGTTTAAAAAACAGCTCTGACAGACCTGCAAGGGACTGAATACATTCTAGAAGGGAGGCAGAGCCAGCAAAGCAGCATCTGCATCTAAGTAAAAAGGTGACAGCTCCCTGACCTGGGATCCAAATGAGACTTAGGTAAGCTCTGTTGTCCACTGGCTTATCAGCAGGCTACACAGCCGTTAATGTATCTTACATTTTAGGAAGTCCTCAGCAGCAGGAGTTCCTGTGCCATGCTATATATGCTAGGAGAGAAGGGAGGAGGGAGGGGTGGGTTCCACATGGCCCTGTAGAGCATGTGCAGACAACAGAGTAACTGGCGCGTCTAGACAAGAAAGTATTGCTAAGGAAACCTTAAGCAAGAGTCAATTTCAGTAAGAAACTGTTGGAGAGGGTCTCCTAAAATCAGGAAACAGTCAGCTCAGTATTGAGGACGCATGCCTGAGTTCCTGGGATGGGACTGAGGGGCATCTAGGCGTCAAAGAGGTGAAAGTTGACCATCATCTGCATACTGCACATATTGCATATTGTAGGAGGCTCAGCTCACTGAGGGGCAAGAGAGAGTAGGCTGACTCATCCTCTGAAAGAAGCTGGGAGATGCTTGTTTGCGAGCAGAGGGTAGAATAGAAAAGAAAGAAGGGGGGAAGAGAGATGGCCTTTATTATAGAAGCAATCATGTGCATAAGGTTCATAGTATGAAGTACCAGGAACAGACCAAGAAAAAGAATTATATATACATATATATGTATATGTGTGTGTTTGTACATAAATATAAACATATATAATATATATACACATACATACACACATACACATATACACACATGCATGAACACACACACATAGATGTAGAGACAGAGACAGGTACAGATTCAAATATAGATGAGAAGTAGGCCCCTCAATCTGACGAGAGTGTCGAGGTAGAGCTACCAGTGCTCCACTGCTGTGTGCCTGTCATTGGCTTGAACTACCACAGCCAAATGGGCTGTATCATGGGGAGCATTATCAGCTCCCAGAGAAGCAAAGGGCAGAATCAGGGCACCAGGTTCCGAGTCTCAGCAGCTCTTGGCAGAGCTGGAGCTCAGCAGAAAGGAGACAGAGTACAAGACAGCACCTCTCCATGGAAGGGGAGGCCTGAGCTGAGGCCTTTCTAGGCTAGTGCCCTGTGAACATATGTATGTTAAGTCATGCCTAGGGTTTTAACAGGAGTTGAGGATCATAACAGTGCTGTGGAGAGGCCCCTTTTTGATTGTTGCTTCTTTGTTTGTTTATTGGGTCTAGCTGGCCTAGAACTGACTATGTAGAGTAGGGCCTAGAGATCCACCTGCCTCTGCCCCCCAAATCCTGGAATTAAAGGTGCGTGCAAGACACCCTTGCCAAACAAGTCTTTATTTAGGAAATAAAAAGAGTTTTAAGTAAAAGCAATACAAGACTTGGGCTGGTCGTGGCAGCCCCCAGGCCCAGCTGACCAGGTCAAGGGTCGGCTGCAGACACCTTACCCTTTGCTAACGTACAGTGCCATGTTTTGTGGCATTGCTGTTGGGAGATGAATTTCTCCCTGGTGTCTCTCTGCATTTCTATCACTTGTTTATCCAAAGCTCTGACTTCATTATCTGAAAGCAGATGGGGAGTGCGCCTGTTTCCTCCTGATATTACTCTTTATGGGGGGGGAACAATAATTTCTGTGGCTGCAAAACAGGGTAACTAGTCCCTTAATCACAAGTCCATGTCTCTTTGTACACTTGCATTCCAGGATGATCTGAAGTATTTCTTGGAGAATATTTCTCATCCCCACCTAGTTATGTGACAGCTTTATTTTCCTGAATCCACCTCAGGGCCAAACTCAAAGTTTCCCCTGAAGTATCATTGGATTTTAGAGAATACATTTCCCTCTTTGTTAAACAAGACAGAGTTAGAGCTAGTGAGGTAATCTCTGGGCAACTAATTCATTTTGGACTTGGCCACCTCAAGAAATGGCATTTGTTATTGCTTCCTACATCTATTAAATTGGAAAGGTGTGTGCCTGTGGTGTGTGTGTGTGTGTGTGTGTGTGTGTGTGTGTGTGTGTGTGTAGGAGCCTGCTTATTATTCTATAGCACAGAGAGAGAGAACAAAACCACCAACTGACTAAGGGAAAATTCACATCTGCCTCTCTTCTTATCAGACACAGGGCAGAGAACATTGGCAACCCCAAGATGAAACACCACTGCCCTCTAGAAGGCAGAGCTGAAAATCTCACTGATCCCCAGAGATGGGAGCTGGAAGAAATAGACTGGCTTTCTCGCCTATAAAATATTTATGCCCCTGTTTTTAAAGTAATCTCATTTAACCTGGTGTTGACACCGCATCGGTTCATGTAAATGACATAAATTAAGTCTGAATGAAGAGCGGCTCAGCTACTCCAGCCTCCCTTCGCTCTCCCCACAGTCCTCACTTTGAGGCAGGAACAGTTACTTTCAGCTGACAGCTATTCAGAAGCTCATTTACCATGGGTTAAGGGTTTCGAATCCATAATGTAAATCACTTGATTGACAGACCTTTGCCCCCTATGGCACAATCAATTTTCCATTGTGGAGCTAACTTATTTTCTTGAAGCAAATCAAAAAAGCCTCTAAGAAAAAGGGGTAGGAAGAGAGGGAGAGAGAGAGACTGAAAGACCGCAGAAGGCTGAGTGTTGTTTCTGCTTTCTCTTGCTGCTCATGAAGACAAAGGGGCTGAAGACACAGGAGAAGTGACCTGCTTCACAAACAGTAACAAAGGCAGCAACTCAGAAGTTCAGTCCCTCAGTTCCTTCCAGTCAGATTCTGGTGATGACAATGGTAAGCACTTTCCTGCTGGGTGCTGGGGACAACAAATGAGAAGGGGACACCACTGTATTGTTTCTTGTTCTGCTCCTTGGCCTTTAACTGTTTTTCACCCATTGTTAGGAGTCCTTGCCAGAAGACCTAATAAGGCGCTGGTCAGAGCAGGATCTACATGGGGAGCGTGGGTAGATGACAACCCTAAGGCATGAGTTCTCTTTGACATAGAATTGCTTCCTCCCTAGTGACAGTTCACAGCAAATAGGATACTATGTTCCCTTTCTGTGATGCTTGGGGCTTCTCACCTCCCTGTTCTACATTCAGACACCACGTTGCTAGACATTAGTTTGGAGACAGAGCAGCTTCTCTGTCGAGCCAGCGATGTCTTTGTTCCATTCAATTTCCTGTTTCATCATTTGGAGTTGTGGGATTTTGGGTAATTGATTAAAAAGTATGACCCAGCTCCTTAGAAAATTGCCTGTCTGCCCAGACTGCACCCAATCTTGCAGCTCACAGAAGGCTTTGCTACCTCCAAGTCTGGCTCCCATGAACCTGTGCTGGTGGAGAAAGGGCTGGTATGTCCAACTAGGAGAACAGCTGTGGAGGATGAGCTGGGAACGAAGAAGCAAGTCAAACTAGCAAATATTTGTCATGTAGTGCTAAAGCAAGAGTCACTTCAAATGGTCATCCAGGGGCAAGTAGTCCCACCTGAGCCAACACCTTAGGCTGCCCCTCCCATTTATGAGCAGTCAACAAGGAAAACTTAATACTTGATAATGTAATTTTCAACACATAGACCTTGCTAATCCACTGTGTGCCAAGTTCTGGGCTCCATGGCTTGAACATAGAAAAGCAGAATTAAAATAGCCAAGCAGAGCCTCTGGGCACACACAGGGAAAGTGACAACAGATTGCTTTCTTGTACATAACCCAGGTCTCTCCCACATGCTCACCCAACACTAGCCACCCCTGAAGAAGTTTCAATGCTAAGAAGATGGCTTCCATAGTAAGAGCACACTTGTTCTGTACACAAGAACCCAAGTTAGACTCCCCAGCACCTACAGAAAATCTCATGTATGTGGTACATTTCTAATCTGAGCATTAGGGGTAAGAGACAGGCCAGCCAGTCGACCCAACATGCCAAGCTTCCTGTTCACTGATAGACCCTCTCTCAAGATAATAAAGCTTACAAGGGAAAGAGAGAAACACTTAGGCATCCTGCTGTCATCTCCACATGTAATTGTGCAGGTCCATGAATATGCAAACATGCATTACCACACACAAACATACACTCAAGAGTTCATGCATTCATAAACACATAGAAACACACACACACACACACAAACACTAGCATACCTATCTGCCAGAGTAACAAACCATGTAACTGCGTTTCATTTGACAATTTTCAAACCAAGCACACAAGTCTCTGTCCCATGTGTGTTTGCTTTGATGCATCTTCTTTCCTTCACATCCAGGAAGAAGAAAGGCTCCAGCAACTTTGCATATTATGTTAAACGTTGAGAACTTAACCAGGCAGCAGCTCCAGCCATAATGTCTGGCTGATGGCTCTCAAAGTGGCTATAATTCACATACTTACCCCTTCATGGTCAGCATCTGGGCAGATAGCACTAGGCCCCTGTATCTAAAGTCATGAATATCTAAGAAAGCTCAATAGGCCAGAGGTCTCCTTCACATACCCCAAGCCTCACAGCAGGAGATGGGCTTCCAGTTGATCTGGCCCATCCATGACAAGTGTGAGGCTATTAGACTCATATCAGTTCAAAGGTTGCCTACACCATTGACATTGGATTCAGAGCACATATGCAAGCAACAAGTAATCTCCACAGGACCAGTGAAATCTTCCTCTGAGGGCCTCTGTGAGTGCTAATGAGAAACGTCCCTGAGCTCCGTGGGCCACCATCATCCTGGTGACAGGTGATGAGTTGTGAAGAAATGACTCAGAAATCTTTGACCACCATGCTTTTAAGGAGCACTGCCCCCCACCCTTCTACTGTTTTTCTCCTGTTCCAACAATCCCAGGCAACCATATATAAGCATCCCCTTGACACCTGCCCTGAGGGAAGGCTATGGGAAGGCCATGGGGGTTTGTGTGTAATGTCTTCATTATTGTTATTACTCGTTAACCTGTGTTTGAAATATGTGACTAACGAGGACCTGTCCTCCCCCTCCCTCCTGTCTTCTTTTCCTGCCAAAAGCATCCATAGTGACTGTCATTCAACTTGTCAACAATGTAGTTGACTCTATAGAGAATGAAGGTATTTATAGTTTGTTTTTTATTTCTGTTCGTTTGTTAGTTTCTTCTATCATAGCATGTCTGTGTCCTTCTGGAAAGTTTGCTTCTGTAGTACTTTATCTGAGGATGAAAGTGCAAGACAATGGTGGTTTTAAATAAAATAATAACAAGGTTGGGGATTGAGCTCAGTGATAGATGTCTTGTCTGTCTAGCCCACGACTCTAGATTTGGTCTCCGGCACTAGAAAAAAAAAAAGTAAAACGCCAGATATATCACTGTGGATTGCAATAAATTTAACAATTATGAAAGAAAATCTAGATCAAATTTATTTAAATATCTATGTTCCCTTATCAAATCTCTTCAAAGTAAAGAATATTCATTTGCAATCCAGGTTAATCAGCTAATATTACATTTATTCTAGTATTTGCTGAATACCTGCTGTGACCTGTAGAAAATTATAAAATCATCAGAAGCGGCAATGTTATGAAGTTTAATTTATATCGGGTAATTTTTCTAGTGCTTTAACAAAATTATAGCAAAATACAGATGGAATTTGTGTATTGATTTCCTAAATAGCAGTAGGGAGAGATTTTTTTTAAAAAATCTAAACTCAGGATTAGGCCTTGGTTTTCTGGGAGTAATTTTAAAGCTTCTGAAGTATCTGTTTATCACTTCCTATGGCCCGAATGGCCAGATTCACATTTCTCTTTGTGTTTGAACAGTGTCTGTTATGGACCAAGGACAGAATTACAACCGAGGTGACTGTGCCGCCACCCAGGATAACGACTCATTTCTGTGTTTCCCACTGCTCTGCTCCTCTTACCAGACCCCTTCCTCTAGCCCCTCCCAGTCTCCCAATCTGAGCTTTGCATGTTCCAGATGTCTTGTATGCTCAGCTCCACACACATTCACTCTCAAGGCCCATTCCCTGTTTGTGGAATTCACCCGCTTACCTGCAAAGCACCTTGCTTTTTGCAGTTCACAGTATGCCTGTGCAGATGCCAACATGCTGCCAGCCTGGCGTTGTACACAGCATGTGGATGGGAAATAGGGGTAGGGATGGATGTTGAAGATCTTAAGTCTGTGCCCATCAGCATGTCTTGGGGGCCACATCTCTGGCCTAGTGAGGATGAGTCTGCACCAGCCAGGCACTTTTTTTCTGTACTCTCTCTCCAGGCCAGAGCATGACTGCCCTAATGGGCCATTGTAGAGAGCTAGCATGTGACCTTGGCTTTTAGGGTCTTCTGGCCTTTAGTAATGCATGGCAGGCTCATCCCTGCTCTTCATTCATCTTTGCCCCTCCTCTAGTCTAGAGGAAGTTAATCATCTGGATTTTTCTCTTACAGCCTATCACTGGGACACCTCTGATTGGATGCCTGGGGCACGGCTTTCTGATATAGAAGAAATGCCCAACTATGAGAGCCAAGATGGAGGGGCAGCACACCAGGGTAGCACACGAGAGCTGGAGAGTGACTACTACCTAGGTGGATATGACATTGACAGTGAATACCCACCACCTCATGAAGAAGAGTTCCTGAGTCAGGATCAACTACCCCCGCCACTGCCTGAGGACTTCCCTGACCAGTATGAGGCCCTGCCTCCCTCCCAGCCCACTTCACTCACTGGCACTATTAGCCCAGACTGCAGGAGGAGGCCGCGGTTTCACCCCAGCCAGTACCTCCCTCCTCACCCACTCCCCGGTGAAACGGATTTGGGGGGCCCATCCTCCAGCTGTGATTTTAGTACTTTTGCAGTAAGCATGAACCAGGGCACAGAGGTCATGGCCCCCACAGACAGTGTGTCTCTGTCCTTGCACAATTCCAGAGGCACCTCATCCTCAGATGTGTCAGCCCGCTGTGGCTTTGATGATTCTGAGGTAACCATGAGTGACTACGAGAGTGCAGGAGAGCTCAGCCTCACCAACCTTCACATTCCCTTTGTGGAGACGCAGCACCAGACCCAGGTGTAGAGGACACCCATAGGTGCTTTGCCCCGACTAGTAAAGCATGAATGAAAATAAGCTGCACTTGTGTTGGATGGAGAGAAGTCCGTGGAAATGTGGATTTTCTATGAGGAACACCTTCGCAAGTCTTACTGTCGCAAGCAAGCTTGATGCCCAGAGTGACAAGGAGAGGCTCAGAATTTGTCGGGGGACAGGGGAGCTGACAGTCATCGTTGTGGGTGTTTGTGGTTTGGAATGCAAAGGAGAAGAAGTGAGTTTATGGAGTTAAACGGGAGATCATGAATGGCTTTGTGCTTTATTGTGACCCGGAAAGTATGAAACCAGAGTTTCTTACAGTATTTTCCCCGCCACCGTCAGAGGGGCATCATTGCATGTGATTTGGAGCCAAGGAAGTGAGAATAGTAGAGATGTCTGTCAGAAAAGTTAGTGTTCTAGATGAGAGAAGCGTGAGCACTGCACACGCGTGTGGACAGAAGCCTTTGAAACCGACGCTGTTGTTCAAGGGAGCTGCCTGATTTCCAGCTATAAACTTAGGTTTGAGTAACATGCTCAGTGTGCTCAGATTCTTTTTTCTTGTTTGTGTTAAGCATCCAATATAATATTGTTGGGTTTTGTGATCTCTGAGAAAGTTACCAAGAAAGAGCAATAAGAGGCTGTCCAGGGGGTGGGCTGTGGGAGGTTAATGTTCAAACGTTAGAAAAACTATGATGATCTTGTTTTTGTGTTTTCTGTCAAATATTCCTGGCCATATCTATGGTTCTAACATTGCTGCCAAAACTTGGCCCTGTTGGTATATTGCTCTCTAGGATGAGATGTATTTGAAAGTCTAAGAAGAATTCACAATTCAGAGGAGAGGGTATGTGGTACGGTCAAAGGTTTCAGCCTAGGTAATCACAGTTCTCCACACCACAGGTGAAAGTTGTGTGTGTTATTCTAAACTGGTAATGATATCATTATAAAACTGTTAGGTTTTTAAGAAGAAAGTAGGTAGTGACTATGTATACATTAAATTGTGTGTGTGCGTGTGTGTGTATGCGGGTACGCATGAGTGCGTGTGAGGACGGACCTAGGTATCACTATGAGTGTGTACTCACTACAGCTGCTCTTGAGGAAAGCTGCCCCAAAGGGTTTAGGATTCAGTGCTGGAAATCCTGAGGTGAGCAAAGACTGCTCACCTTCGAGCTCTTTAGTGTCACAGGAACACCAAATGCCATACCTTACTCTAATTCAGTTAACCTTAGTTTAGTACTGCCATTTATATTAACTTAAAGCAAGTACTGTGATTTTTTTAAAGACAGTGTTTTATAATTTTCAGAACTACTATTTGAAAGTGTGTAACACTGATTACACGCTGGGGTTTCCCCTCCCATCTAATAGGTGGGCTTCGGCCATCATTTTCCCATAACAGAATGCTGGTCCCACTCAAAATACAAAAGCCCAACATACAAAAGTCTAAGTTAGCAGTGGAGTTGACTTTCCTCTCTCACTTTGATCAGCTGTGGCCACCGCCTTTGCAGTGACCATGGGAAATGAATGCATATTTGCACATCTGCCTCATGAGCAAAGCTCTGTATGGATGGTTCCTAGTGACGCCAGCATTGGTGTGTGAAGGGAGCTGTCTGAGATCTGCCTCTATCATCTCCTCAATTGTCTCTAATCCTCTTACTTCTTTGTAGGAGTCAGTGTTTCTGAACATCTGTCATTAAAAAAAAAATCCCTTTCATTCCCAAACTTCCTGAGTTAGTAGATACACATGTCGGGTCTCTCTGCGTTTCTCTTCTATTCTCTTGGTTAGACTCTCCATGGAGGCATTATCCACACTGTGGTTTTGAAATAAATGAATTTCACTAAGGCTGCTTTCAAGAATCAAGTCTTTAGTATTTTTCTTACGTAAGAAGCACATTTGCAAGAATCACAAAGAAAATGACAAACTAATGGTCCAGAGTTGAATCACTGCTGTGCTTTTAATAACACAACAGCATAAAACCATCAAAGTAAAACCAACAATTCATTTCTTGCCCCCAGGAAATATGAGATGAGATTCATGCCAATGAGTCACCAGTGCTTAGCCAGCATCTCTTCCAGAGAGAATGCCTGGCTGACCCTATAATGATGGCATAAATAGAGCTATCTGCAGGCAGTGGTAGACGCACTGAAGAAATCCCCGCCTGATCTCTCCTCTGGCCTACATAAGATATTTCTTTCTTTAGGACACCTTCTTGCTAAATTCCAGCAGAATATCTCTGCAGACTTTCCAGATGAGCACTGGGTCTATCGGATTACTTATCTGTAAAAGTATGAAATCGATTCTCTTTTTTTAAAAAAAATGAGATTTTCCTACAGATTGGAAAATGGAGTGCAAGGAGTTCTACAAGCAACTAGAAGTGGCCACAGCTCTAAAGAACTGCATCCTTAAGGTTTGCTAGTCTAGGTCCCATTTTCATAAGAGAGGAAGCATGCCCAGAGAGAGGGAGAGACTTGCCCAGACTCACCCAGAAACTAACTCATTGACAAACACTATCACCCGTCCTCTTAGGGACAAGTCCTCATCCATAACATTGCATGCCACTAAGCTGCCCTGAGCTGGCAGCTGCTTCCTTCTGCTGAACCTCTCACTTTCTGCTTTCCTTCACTGAAATATGCAAGAAAACAAAACAAATAGAGACCATTTCTCTGTGGGCTTTGATGGACCAAGAGATTTGGACATTCATTAGAATGCTGCTTTTGCCAAATGAATGTTTCTAGAATAGGGGGGGGGGGAACAAGCACAGAACTGTCCACGGACTACAGTCGTCAATGGTGGTGAAACTGGAGTGTGTAACACACCCACCTGGTGTGTTTGATGGATTTAATGTTGTTGTTTTCTTCACATGAGCTCTGCCTACCGTCTGGTCTTGTCTTGTCCACCATATTGGAAAATTAGCGAATTAGCTAGTGTCTTTGTATCTGTTGGAAGAAGAATTGCACACATGCTGGTCAGGCCAAGTGAAGCTGTCGATCTTTGTCACCCTCTAAGCAGGAGCTACAGGGCTGTTAAGGATAGACAGCATGCTGCATTTATTCCCTTCTTCTGAGAGTATTTTGCTGCTGAGCCTCATCTCATGCCTGCTTTCTTTGTACCCATATCCTGCCCACTTACACCATGCAATGGGAAAGTCATAGCAATATATGCAGATCAAGGCCATAATCCTGGGGTTCAAGCTATTGGAGTCACAGGAAGGCCTGAGTAGATTCACCTGGGTCTACCATTAGAAATCACTATCCCAGAAGAAAAAAAGAGTACACGTCCTGTTGACCTTTTTCTGCTGACTGCCTAGCCACAGAACTGTATTACTTTGCTGAAGCTGGGAGGGCCAATTCACAAACAAAGAGAAAGATGACTGGAATAAATGCTTAAAGACCCAGAAAACACCTTTGGATGAAATAATTCAGGATGATCTAGTGTTCATGTCGTGTGAGTTGTATGGCCTTCTTACTGCTGCACACACTAGTCATGCGGTTAGATATGGACACTCTGTGCTTTGTGGGACATGGGACTTCCTAGGGGTATTACTTCAGTGCCATCTTTCTGTGTGGTCTGTGAAGAGCTGGTGTGTGTTCTTGTTAGTGTGTATCTTGCAACCTTCAGCTGCACATCGCTGATTCAGACCCACCTCTTCGAGCTTCCAGTTGTGTGTCGCAGGGGGTTTAAAGTAGCCATGCATGGGTTTGACATCAGTGAATATTTAGCCAGCTGGCTAAGACAGGAAAAGAAGAAGGTATTTCTTTCCTTATGTAATAATGAAAAGCAATAATTACAAGTATGTAACAATACACAAAGGCCATAATTAGTCTCTTCCAGTGTTCAGGATGAGCTAGAGAGTTCTGTAGTCATTTGGAGTATGTTGGACCCATTTGGAGTATATCCTAAGCACCCTTCAGTAAACAAATACCTGAATTGCTCCTATTTAACAATTTTATGAGCCCATACTACTGCATTTCGGGAATGACAGATGTGTCTGGAAATGGGGAGGGTTCTTGCAAAGCACTGTACCAGAGACCATGTTGTACATTTGTCTGTTATAAACAGGCTGGTTTGTAAAAGATGTATGTTTTTGGTGTTTAAAGTGTTTATAAAATTGTATATAGGTGGTTTCAATTTTCCAGGCATTTGTAGATACAGTATTTGATGCCTATCCGGATGCTTTAATTTGGAGGGTCGAATAGAATTCTTAGTCATCCACATTGTTGTTCTACAAACTTTTGGGGTACACCCACAAAGAAGAGGACTTTAGATTTGAAAACAATGGTTTTTTTATTCATTTTGAAATGTGTCATGTCTTTCCTTTGCTTCCGTGGTTTTCATTTAACTCTGTTTCAAAAGAAGGAAAGTGTTTTTAAGATGAATGAGTTTTGCCCAGTTTTTAAGCACTGCACCTTCATGCCATTTCCTAGTCAGAGGGAGCTGTCATTTCTTCACACACACGCATACTCACCTTGTCTCACACACATCACATGCAAACTTATGCAAAGGGGGAAGTGAATAACACATCATTGAATCTGTCCCTTATATAAATGCATTATTTCTACAGATATTGCTGTTGGCAGTATTCAGTCTTGTGTTCTTTTCTTAAAAAAAAAAAGAAAAGAAAAAAGAAAAGGAATGGAATGGAATAAAAACAAAAAGAAATAAGAAAGACGCAAAAATACTAGCCAAAAACTAAAACAAGGGGGGGTGCGGAGAACCAATAGTATACAAGTTTGTAACTGCCAAATTTGATCATTAAAACAAGTTTTCAAGTAAAAGAAAAAATACTATGAATCTCTATTGTGTTGGCTCTTTTTAAGTGTCTTTTTGCATTCTCTGACATGGCATTTGGGAGCAAGTACTGTTATAGACAGAACCATCCAGCACTATCTGTATCTCAAGGATGGTCTCTAGTCTGAAGTACATGGTCTGGGAGGGGGTTGTTTTATCTCATAGGTTTTAAAATGATGTTCTGATGCCCATATAGTAAAATCCTGTGTAATGTCTTGTGGGCACATGATCTGTGGGCACATGATCTGTGGGCCCTTGCTTGATAAGAAGCATGAAACAGAGAGTGCTGGAAGGTAGACCACAATGGTGCAGAGGTCACAGACTTCCACTTCAGCTGAAATCACTGGACACAATCCCAGGCTTCCAAGGCTCCACTGCCCCTCTCCAAAAAAAAAGAAAGAAAAGAAAAAGTAAAAGAAAAGAAAAAAACAAACAAAAAAACAACTTATGCCTGAGTCTTCTTCCAAATCTATAGAAATGTTTCTGTATAAAGCAGATATTAAAATGTGCAAGAGGAGAGAAGACAGAGCGTCAAATGCTAATCTGAGGAAGTGACTTATCCAGTAGGTGTTCCATAGAGCCACGAAGCCATAGAAGCTCTGAAGAAGGGAGCACTCTGTACCTGGACTCTGTGAGGTGGCTCAAAGTTCCAGAAAGGCCATGGAGCTGCTGTCAAATTGGGCTGTTTCTCATTCTCTGTAGATTTACTCCTACTCGGTACTGGCTAGGATGCCAGAACCATCAGCCACAGCTCCACTGGAAGCAGTACAGCTAAACACCACTCCTTTTCATGCTTGGAGTCCTGTGAAGGCCCACTCACCTTTGTCAAAGCAATCCTTAGTGATTTGCTTATGTTTCTGTGATGCACAGGTAAGGATTAAGAGTTGGATAGAAGCTAGGTACCAACTAACTGATGACATGCACCAATTCTTTGGATAATTACTTGTATCATGGATGACTTTTTATAAATGACGGAAGGGATAGATAGAGGCATTTCATATTCTTTATTATAAAATGTATTCCTTACTGTAGAAAGGAATCTGCATTACCAACCTAGCAGATACACACAATGTCAGTAGTTTGGTCTGAGTTAACCATGTCCTAGAGGAGAACATGGTTGATATCAGCAGACAGTGAATTGACTTGCTTTTCTAAGAGGTGCTTGAACCAGACATCCACAGAGGGAAGGAAGAAGGCAAGGGATGATGGTGAAAGGAGCACAGATGTTAGTCTCAGAAAGAAAAAGCTAGCTATGCTGTGCTTTTCTACTAGCTCACTCCAACAAGTCCTATAAAAACCTTCCCCTCTCTCCAGTCCTCTTCTGTCTCTGCTGAAGTCAGAGGCAGCCACCACTCTGTTCTTCTTACCAATAAATCTCATATGAGGTTTGTTACGTGGTGTGACTTTGTAGCATTTCTTGGTTCCAAACTGCCAACATGCCCTTGCACCAGAAAATCTTTCCACACATGACCAGAGGGGCAAAAATCAAGCTCCAGAATCACTCTCCCCTTTGTTTCGTCTGCTGCTTCTCATAAGGTTGATCAGTTGTGCATGAGATACAGGGCAGTTCTTAGTCTACCAATCTGCCGCTTTCTCAGACTGCTGGCTCTCCAGGTAACACAAGATTCAACTCCTGTCTCTCAGCACTGGCTTCTGGATAACAGTTATTCCAATTATAATTTCAAGCTGTAAGGTGATAGGAAGTGGTTTATAAGATCCCTATGAGTCTAGTTGTTGGACCTCACAAACCAGTTTGAACCAACTGAATCCCCAAGAGCACTTTCTATCCCAGAAGCTACCTACAAGCCAAGTAGTGATTTTTCTTCACTTAGTATCTCTGTATCGCTGTAAGTATATGGCTTTCTTAAAAGTTTTTGATTGAAAAATTAATCCCATTTGCAGCTACATACCGTCTTCCTCAATCATTCTTCATCTTGGTAAATTTGATTATTCTAGTAAGAAGTACTTCATGATAGGGCAATGTTGATAATACTGGTCTACACCCACACATACACACACATACACTCACACACATACACACACATTCACACACACATACATACATACATACATACACACATATACACATACACACTCACTTACACACACATATACACATACATACACACACATATATACACACAAACATATACACACACATACACAACACACACACATTCACACACACATAAACTCATACACACATATACAAATACACACTCACACACACATACACAAACACACATACACATATATATACACACACACACATATATATACATACACACTCACACACATATGCACACACATACACACAACACATACACACACACACATATACACAGACTGCCCCCACCACTACAGCTCATAACTTGAGTAGGAAGAAGACCTTTAATCAAGGGTGTGTCTATCCTGTACCACCTTTGCAGAAAAGCCTTGGCTTCACTCTTCACCCTTCCTTATAAAATAGTAGAGCAACCCAGGGATGAAAAATAGCACTAGTCTTTCAGATAAGGAGAAAACAGGTTTTGTCTGTATGCTTTCTTTGCCTTGGTTTTGCAGTAGAAGGACTGGATTCTAACTTGGAAATAATTTCTTTAAAAAAGATCTCTCCTTGTGTCAGTCTCCAAGACAAGTTACTCTGGTTTGATAAGTCACTGGGAAAATTAGCAGGACTCTACATAAGCACAATCACACCTCTGGGTTACCTAAAGGAAAGAATGCAAAGAGGATTCAGTGAGAGGGATAGCTGTGGAGTAAGGCGAGTTCACTGTGTTTGCACAATCAAAGATGAGCCACTCTGACCAGTCCTGGAAACAACCAGAACCTGCCCAAAGCCCAGTGCCCAGACATCAACTCACAATCCTCTACAGGACTGCAGTTAAGTTATAGGATATTTTATGCATAGTTCCTTAAATTTTTCACTGAAGTGACACCTCTGATTTCCCAGAGTTAGCAGTATATGGTTTCTGCTCTTCACTGTGGGATGGAAGCTGAAGTTCTCCAAGTTTGCAGAGCTTCCATTCCCTTACCTTCACCTCAGCAGTGGAGGTGTTGTCCCAACATGCTTCTGTGTGAGCATCCTGTGTGAACATGTGCTGCTCAATGGAACGATTCTGTCAAAAATGGGATTTGTATAAATCACCAAACCTTACTCTTGGTGTGAGAAAGCGTGTCATCTTCACAAATAAGAGGTCTTTCTTCAAACTTTTACCATTTCTGTCTTCACTTCTTTTGTTTTAAAATTCTAATTAATTTTTAGACAGATTTTCCAACTTTATATTGTTTTAATAAAGAAAATTTGGGTCAATAGCAATATCAAACAGTAAATGACAATATTCACCTATACACACACAAATGAATAAGTCAGCTTAACAGACTTAAAAATGGCTAAAAATAGAATAATAAAATTTAATCTTAGCATATAAGGTATTACATATCATTATGACTTTTTGAACAAGGTGAGTTGTAGTGGTTCTCCATCCCTTCATCCCCAGCCACACCCCTGACTCTCAAAGTCCTCACCGAGCCCCATTCCTCTCTCATGTATCCCTGTGCCATCCTCTCCCTCCCCATCACTCCATCACTGAACAGCATCCTTTCCTTCTCAGTGTTATAGGCTGTACACTGTACTTGCAACTGAATGAACTAAAGTTTAAGACCCTTCTCTTATATAAAAATGTGTTCTTTCTATTGATGTCCTTGTTTCCTCAATTGTTCATTATACTGCAGGTTGATTATCCCTTTCCTCTTATTCATGGAACCAAATGTGTTCCAAATTCCAAATTGTATTTAGTTTTTGACTTCTTTTATGTAAATAATGAGCCGTGTTGAGGATGTGACCTGAGTCTAAGCATGCGGTTCCTTCATATTCCACATCAAAAAGGATATGTTAGGGGTGTGTACCCTGTCATGTGAGGTATGTTCCCTGTGTTCCCTGTCATGTGACTGTGGTGTGTTTCTCTGATGGTGTTAGGTCAGTGCTCAGATGTTTCAGGGGTTGTAGCATTTGCGGCTTCAGACTAGGGACACACAACTTGTATTATTTCTTTCCTTTTACTATTTCCTGAGACGTACAAGTTCATTACAAACTGAGAAATTGAAAACAGGGAGAAAACGCCGTATGATGTTTTCATCAATGACTAGCAGCATTTTATAAATTACACCTATTTAATATATAATAGATATTTGCACATAAATAAATATAAGTTCTATAAGTCTTCCTTCAGGCTTTAGTTTCAGTGTGGGTAGATACTGACATACATTCTTCTCATGAACATACAGGATCTTTATAAAAATACTTTGCGTAATAAAAGACTACTTCCTCATGAACACAGAAGCCTACATAGCTGTGCATAGAGCTTGTAGCCATGTTTCCCACCATCCCCACCTCTGACAGGAACAGAGTCACTTCCTTAAGAATGTAGGAGGCGTCTTGAAGTTTCATACAGAAATCATTCTCTTACTGGCACCTCTGTGTGTTGCTCCTCTTCCTGGGCTTTATGGTCTGCCAGTTCTATAAATCCCATGGCATTGCACAGAAGTCTGCCGTCTCCCCACTCCCCTTCCTCAGGCTTTGCAGACTCTTTCCTAGATCCTACAAGGAGTGCCCTTTGACTGGACAGTCTCACTGACCTTCATAACTGCTGAGAAGTTCACATGAAGCAGATTTCACATATATGTGCTATGAGCTAAATAGGATATCTCCCCAGAATGCATATATTGAGCCCCTAACCCTAATGCTATGGTTTGGGGAAGTGGAGGCTTTGAAAGGCGAACAAGTTATAAGAGTGTCGCTCTCACAAATAGAATTAGAACTCAGAATAAAAGGAGGGGTCATGAGAACACTTTTGACACCAACTCTCATTTAAAAAAAGGTGGTAGTGCAAACTGAAAAGGTCTCTTCCAGCCCCCAGTTATGTGGTACCCTGGTCTCAGACTTCCCTTCTCCAAAACTGCAAGACTGCAAAACTTCAAAACTGCAAAAAGAAAAAAAAACCACA